GAATTCTGAATTCAGAGCAATGCATTACTGCAAAGACAGTCACCAGCAGAATATTATTTGCTTACAAAACACCAAAAACAGAGCTATTACTTCTATAATGGAATTAAAAAAAAAAAAAAACACTCATCTACCCAGTTGGGTTCTAGAAGAAAAAGTATTTAAAGAGACAGAGCTGAAATTGACAGCTCCAAAATTGCATGTATTTTCAAAGTAAAGTTATTAATTCTCTTATAGTGCTCCTGAATTCCAACTGTTTTCCCTCAACACAAGAACACCATGGAGCACTTAAAATGAAAAATGGCACTCCTAAGACAACACTAAAAACTGGGGGTTCTGGCCTCTCCACATAAGTCCCATCAGYTTCTCTGCTCAATATTCACCAGGACTTTGAGATTCAGGCCTCAAACTTTCTTCCCTCTTGGATTTAAAGCATCTATATTGTACCAGTCAGTTTTGGTGAGTCAATCCTCAACAAGCTCACTGTTGTCTAAGAGACTCATCTAGTTTAAATTGATGCTACACCTGAGAAGGGGCACTGAGAAGGAAAAGCTACAGTGTTGGTCTTCAGAGAATTAATTTGTCCTTTATATTTGGTCTGRAGCTAAGTATTTTAAAATCAATTAATAATAACTTTCATTAGCATATTATTGTGGTATATTTTTGTTGATTAAAATGGCACCCTTACAAATTGAAAGGAATTTGGTTGTTAGAAAGGGGTTATTTCTTTAGTGAGCTGTTTTCCAGGGAACCACCTTGACTACCTCCAAGACCAGGAAAGTCACTAGCTGCAGTCATTTAGAATTATGACTATTTAGATAAAGTCTTAGCTAAATTCCAAGCTTGCATTATCTCTTTTTGGCAAACAAACTATAAAAATATCTCAAAATTGTAAGAATTTTTGTGTTTATATCTGCAAAGAAGGAAAAATTCCAAGTCAGACCCTGTGTTTTGATTATTAGTTGAGGGAATAGTCATTTTACAGGGTTACCATTTGCAGGTGTTCTGATCTGGTATATTGTAGGTATTTTAAAGTAAATAAACTGCATTTGTTTGCAAATATTGACATTTATTCACAAATACTATATAAGTACTTTTGGAGAAGGCAATGGAACTGTTACTTTTTCTTTCTTTTTGCCTATGTACTTTCCAGTTTTTTAAAAATATGCATTCTAATTTAAAAATATGCATTTAAAAAATATGTATGGAGTCTGATATTGGGCATCCAACCACTGAGCCACATCCCCAGCCTACTTTGTATTTCATTTAGAGACAGRGTCTCACTGAGTTGTTTAGCACCTCACTTTTGCAGAGGCTAGCTTTGAACTCGAAATCCTCCTGCCTCAGCTTCCCAAGATGCTGGGATTACAGGCATGCGCCATCATGCCTAGCAAGAGACATTATATTTTTGGTGAGATATATACATACTTGTCTCATTGCTAAGAATATATTGTACTTAATTTGGTATTCTCCTTTCGCATATTATATTGTGAGCAACTCAGTTAAAAATTTTAATATTTTTGCATAGAATTTTTTATCATGGTACTTATGTAACATTGATCAGCGATTTATTCCTTTATTGTTGTTTCACATGTTTATGATAAACACTATTGTGTAGAACAGATATTCAGTGATTCTGCATGCACAATTCTTATCATTTACTTCAGATTGATTCTTGAGATCAACGGATATAAACATGTCCACATCAACCTGATTTTGAAAATCAGTCTTACTTAACCTAATGTGTAAGTTATGTTTTATTGGCTCTGAGATTTTAGAAAAGGTACAAATTAAACCTCTTAAGAAAAATAAGTTATATGACTATTAAAAATGAGGAAGGTGTACTACCTGAGTAACACTGTACCTTTGGACCTCATGGACTCAGGAGGGGACTTAGTTTAATCTTGCTTGACTTGTTATAGTTGCCAGAATAGGAACTCAATGCAGGGTTCAGTGAAGGGCACTGTAAAAAACAGTGCTTATTTTTAAATTAAAAAAAAATTAAATCACAAGTTTTTCCTTTTTTCTCTCAAAAATAGGAAATAAATCTCCATACTGCTTTCCATATTGGCTGCACCAATTTGCAGTCCCACCAGCAGTGTGTGAGTGTACCTTTTCCCCCACATCCTCGCCAATACTTATTGTTGTTTGTACTCTTAATAGCTGCCATTCTGACTGAAGTGAGATAAAATCTTAAGAGTGGTTTTGATTTGCATTTCTCCAATTGCTAGTGATGATGAATATTTTTTCTTGTATTTGTTGATTGATTGTATATCTTCTGAGAAGTGTATGTTCAGGTCCTTGGCCCATTTATCAATTGGGTTATTTGTTTTTCTGGTGTTTAGCTTTTTCTTTATATACTCTAGAAATTAGTGCTCTATCTGATGTGTGAGGGGTAAAGATATGCTCCCAAGATGTAGGCTCTCTATTCACCTCACAGACTGTTTCTTTTGCCGAGAAGSTTTTTAGTTTGATTCTTGACTTATTGATTCTTGATTTTAATTCTTATGCCACAGGAGTCTTATTAAGGAAGGTGGGGACTTAATAACAGCATTACTACAGGGACACAGCCACATCAATGTTTATAGCAGCACAATTCATAATAGCTAAACTGTGGAACCAACCTAGGTGCTCTTGAGTAGTTGAATGGATAAAAAAAATGTGGCATATTTACACAATGAAATATTACTCAGCAATAAAAGAATAAAATCATGGCATTTGCAGATAAATGGATGGAGTTAGAGAAGATAATGCTAAGTGAAGTTAGCCAATCCCCAAAACCAAATGTCCAATGTTTTCTTTGAAATAAGGAGGCTGATTCATAGTGGGATAGGGAGCGGGAGCATGGGAGGAATAGACAAACTCTAGATAGGGCAGAGGGGTTGGAGGGAAAGGAGGGGGCTTGGGGTTATTAATGATGGTGGAATGTGATGATCATTATTATCCAAAGTACAGGTATGAAGACACAAATTGGTATGAATATAGTGTGTATACAATCAGATATGAAACATTGTGATCTTTATGTATATTAAGAATTGTAAGACATTCCAGTGTCATACATAAATAATAATAATAAAAAATTCACAGGAATCAGGAGTCAGTGTATGAGACATAATTTTAACCAGGGTTTATGGACCAAGATGGTCTAGGTTTACATCTTTACTTTTACTAGCTCTATGAATCTGGGCATGTTATTTAACTTCTTTATAACTGAGTTTCCTCATAATAATCCATACTACTTAATTTTGAATGTATTAATTTATAGAACCTAAAGAAAAAGGAAATAAAGAGATTACCTGGGAAAATGAAGGAAATTTCTCCTGTTACATGATTTGTATTTTTTTTGAAGATAAAGGACAAGAAAGCAAAATACTTATTTGTGGTTATGAACATAAACATACACTACATACTAGGTTTGTATAAATATTTGCTACATATTAAGTTTAGTTCCTGAGAACCCAAGACCATGGATTCTATGGACAATAGGACCAATTGGTTTGAGTAGAAAGTATGTTTTATGTTGCTAAAAATATYGTTTTTTAATACAGAAACATGTCACTTATTGAGTGCTATTAGGAAAAACAGCTTTTGGTTAAAAGGTAATGTTCCAAATGATTAAGTCAAGTTTTGCTTTTAAGTGCTATATATTTTGAAGGCTTTCTCAATATGCAATACTTATTATCATGTTGATTTCTTTTATACATGCAATTTAATACAGCATCATTCTCTATTTCCTCAGCCTGTTGTTGTATGGAATCTATGAAACTACATTTTCTTCAGAGTACTTCCAACATCAGCAATTATCTTATGCATGTGTTTATCAGTCTCTCCTCCAAGAATGTAAACTCCGTGAGAACAGGGGTTTTATGAATACATCTTTCAGTACAGAATGTCTGTAGGAGCTCAATAAATAAAACAGAATGACTTAATTTCCATTGTTAACCTAAGAGGTAGATACTACTGAGCATCCATTTTATAGGCAAACAAATGGAATCTTAAAGTTAAATAAACCGGTCCAAAACCCAGTCACTCATCAAAGGCAGGGGAGTTGGGAGCTGGAAAGTAGGACATGCTTTGTGTTTGCTCTGATTGTTAGCTTAGAAATTTAGAGATGATTACTGAAGCCACTTGGATATTTTAAATACACAAGTAGAGAACCTGAATTAAGAACAAGTTGCAAGGGAGAAAAAAGAAAAAAATGTTAGTGTGAAAGTTTTTATTTTCCAAAGGGAAAACTTATAACTGATGGTTTGATTCTTGAGGCTAAAGAAGAAACCCATGTAGCTAAATATGATCCAGTTTTCCTGCCTGTTGAGCCCTGAAGTCACTGGGCAGTACAATCAGTTGCCTCAGTGTTAAAAATAAAGTCTTTTGGCATTGCCCACGGAGGCCGGGACTGAACAGAGTCTCTGGAACTGTAATGTGCCCAAGAGGCCTGGCTATCTGCAGTGAGGCAGAGCTCCGGGAACAAGCACGAGAGTATTTCAGTCAGTCATAAATTCACTGATTACCTTCCACTGGTGTGTGGTATGTCAAGCATCCTATAAGAAAGAAAGAAAGGGGGAAAAAAAAAAAAAACTATAAAGAAAAAAATGGAAACACAATTGCAAGACACACTAATACATGCCACTCAATTCCTCCTTCAAGGATACACTTGCTGCCCAGCTGTGGAGTGTGGTCAGCAGACTGCCTCCAGCTGTTAGCTCCTTCACGGTCTGCTATTACTGCAAGAAACTTGCAATGCCTGTGGTCACAGCCTTCCCAGGGCAGCCCCTACCTAGTGACTAATAGAGAGAATACCAGTTCCAGAGGTCCTCTCTGGGTTGGTTAAGTTTTATGAGGCCTGCATTATAATCTACCATTTCTTTTGTCTTTCCCTACTTTTCTGTCTTTTCCTTTCAAGGTGTGGATCCTTGATTTATAGATTTCTGTGTTCACAGCTTCCTTCTGCATCTGCAAATTCAGGCAATCACAGATTAAAAAATATTAAAATAACATCACATCTGTACTGAATATGTATAGCATTTTTCAGATTATTCCCTAAACAATACATCATAACTATTTATAGTGCATTAAGTATTATAGGTAGTCTATAGATGATTTATAGTATATGGGAGGATGTATATGGTTATATGCAAACACTCTGCCATTTTATATGAGGAACTTGAGCACCTGCAATTTTGGTATACCTGCAGAGATTCTAAAACCTATCTCCCACCAATCCTGAAAAATGACTGCTTATGTCTAGCATTTCCAACCACTTTGAACTTCTGCTTCCATAGAACTCAATCTGCGACACTAAGTTTATTTATTTGGCTAAGATTTCTATATTGGTATGCTAGAACTAAAGGTTCTGGTTATCCAATGAAGAACAAAACATTCATTCAGTTTCTGAACTCATGGTTCTGAAGATTGCAAATGTTAAATAGAGCTTTTTTAAAAATTTAAAAAGTAGCCCCAGCTACTGGGGAGGYTGAGGCAGAAGGATCACTTAGGACTAGGAGGTTGAGATCAGGCCAACCTGGACAACACAGTGCAACTCAGTCTCAAGGGGGAGAAAAGAAAAAAAAGACTCCATAAAATTGACAACTTTATTAGCTAGCATTTAAAGTACTATGTTCTCATGTTAAAATTAAAATAGGGGCATCTACTTTAGAGTTTACTCAGCTATCAAATAACAATAACAATAAAATTGTTGGTTTAACAAAATCTTGACTTCATTTAATCATTTCAAACCTGTATTCTAAGACAGTTGTTTATTAATATCAGTATAAACTAGGTCACTGGAAAATGAGACTGCAAATGGACTTTAGGTATAATAAGGGCAAATGTAAACTTTATTAGTGATCTCTTCTTTTTATCTGCCCAGTATCCATCCTTCTTATAAGAGCAGCTTGGTTTTCTGTGATGAGCTGCCTCCCCTCAGCACCATTAGGTTCATGTGGTATACACAGGGAATGTCAGCAACATTTGAGTAAGTGGGAACAGTATTTTTTATCACTTTTCCTGTGGTAACTGGTTTAGAAATGTGTGTAATCCAAGACAGACCAATAATACAGAACTCTTGCTGGAACTACCAGGAAGAGGAATGTCATTCCAGTGGAATCAGAAAGCTGGCAGAATATAAACCTTAAGCATCAAAAGTGGCCATCATTTTGCCTGAGAATGAAGCCAACTCAGAATATTACCATTAATGGAAGGAACTACTATTATATCCTAAACACAATCCTCACAATGTGCCAGTGTAGAGATTAAGTGCATTGCCCAGGCTACATATAACTGAACTGCACAGGTTGAACCTGAGTTCATATCCCTCATACCATGTACAGTGTTTATCATAAAATTATGGCCGAGAGACTGTTCGAAGACAATTATTTGAGCACGTATAACCAGACTGGCCCTGCAGTGTACATGCAGATCCTTCACTGAGATAATTCAATAAATTATTTTTCTTTTTGCAATTCAATCTGGATTTGTTTATATCGTGGAAACTAAGAGGCCTGACGATATTCCAAATTCATCATTGTGTTTACTTACTACAGAAAGTAGATAGAATCTAAATGCCCAATGACAGAGGTTAAATGATTCTGTAAATAAGAAATGTGTGTACCATCAAAGGAACCAGTATACTGTGATGATCGGTGGGGAAAAAAATGAAAATTTCATTTTTTCCTAAATTTTTGAAGTTTTTAACAATAATGTTTTAAAATTAGAGAAGAAAACGGTGAACTTTGTAACATATGAAAAACTCTTACATCCAAACAACAAAATTCATTGGCTATTATTTAAATTAAACCAAGGTTAAACTCAAAAATCCATTTAATCACACAAGGTGAACTACATGATGATGACTATTTTTCCTGTACTCACCATTATATTCACAGTAGCTTCCTCAGTACCTGGCACCTAAGAGTTTGCTAAATGGAAGGTGAATGGAAGGTGAAGAGAAAAATGAACAAGTTTTCCTGTATTTTCACTGTACTATATTTATTCTAGGAAAGTGCTTCCTATATAATGAATAACTTGAGACAAATCACTGCTCATGCTAATTCTATTCCACTTTAAGAATTAAAAAAAAAGAAAAAAATTAATATGCTTGTGTTGTGGTTTCACTGTGAATTATTTCTAATATGTCTGTATATACATGTACATGTATATTTTAATCAAAGCACAATTTATTTTATTTTATATTTTTATTTATTGTCAAAGCCCAAAAAATTGAGATCTTGTTTAAAAATAAGTGCCATTATTTTGTTAAAGTAACTTAAAAACTGTCCAAATATTTTCATGTGATTATTATTTAGCAAAACATTCATTTTTAACTTCTAAGTGAAAAATGCAGAGAAAAGGAGCAAAGTACATCTTGATATGTACTCCTGTATTATTACTATGCTAAAGACCTCTGGTATTTCATAAAACTACCAATATTCTTGCTGAGAACATAAGCTCTGAATCAAAGACTAAAGAAAGAGATCCAGGAAATAATATTCTTCTTGCCAGGTGTCCCCTGTAGTTTCCAGGCCTCACTTCTAAGCTGCCTTAAGCAATTTTTACTTTTTAAATCTAAGAAGTCAACTGTGAAGGGGTCTAACAGCTATGGACTGAACCTCTTGAAAACTGGCTTCAGAGAAAAGCTTAAAATTACAATCTTAAAGTTTAAACAGGGCCTTATCATTGTCAGACTATGATATTTTATCATCTCTGAAAATAAATCTATACACATCCCAGTGTACCCCAACTCTTTCTTGATAGTCATATGACAAAAACTCTCCTTTATTCCTGATATTAAAAATTGAATGCAATAATTTAAAATATTTTATATAATATATTTAGAATCATGTGGTTTACAGTGATTAGAATTTAGTCATCTCTCCAAAGGAAGAGAAGACRTTGACTGAGAAGTACCAGCCTTATAAGAGATATCTAAGTACCATACGTAGGATGATTAATATTAAGAATTTGTACATAATACAGTTTTCCTCAAAGGAAACAATTTTACTTTCTAAGGAACATTCACTTCTGACATCTCAATTCCTGATTTCAGTGGCTGTACACTATGTACCTCTGTGCCACACTTAGGACAAGTAAAGTACATGTCAAATAAGAAACTACTCTTAACACAGTAATAACAGAAGATATGTTCACATCCTATGGTGTGAGGCATGGTGGGCCACTCTCCACACAAAGAACATTCTTTGCCATTGGTGGCTAATGTACTGTCATTATTAGAAGCACCAGTAAGAGGGATACACCATGAGGATAACTTGGCTTTCAATTTCTGGATATTGATAAGTGGTAAGAGAAAAATTAGAAACTCAGCAAAACCATGCCAGAGAAGTTCCCTATTCATGTACTCAAAGCCAACTTCTCGGACATTTTGGGGCCTGCAAAATACAGAATGAATGCCTAGAAGACRTTCTGTCAAAGTTGCAAACTTTCCCCGTTGAAGGAAAATCAAAAAATTAATTAACCCACCTAATTTCAAAAGTCCAACCACAAAATTTGTACACTGTTTAAGTTTCCCAAAGGATGCTAAATGATGGTTTCGAAACAAATCGTAGCATCGTTCTTCTAACCACCTCCCACCAATGGTACAGACAGCGTACCAGATTTTCTGGTTTTTACTTGGTGGCTGATATCTCAGGCTCGGGGAAAAATTGTCTTTGTACTGAATATTCAAAACTGACTGTCCCACAGTAGCATTTTTAGAGTAGATAGTGAATCTCCACAAGAAAAGCCACAAGAACGCTTTCACTTCTGGTTCAAAGCGAGCAAACAGGCCTGGCTTAAATCCATGAAAACACTGAGTAAACTGGGACCAAACCAGCTGCTCCAGGGCCTTGTTTAGTTCCAGCGCATCCAACTGACTTATTCTGAGTACTCTGCCTGTACTCTTTGTATTCTCTTCTCTGGGTGCCATGTCCTCTCTGAAGGTCTCTAGGAAAAAAAATAAAATTAAGGAATATCATCAAATTGTTATAATATCATACTACCTCTTCCACTTACACATGGAAAACTAAAACTGATTCACAAATTACACAGGGGCACAGAAGACAGGCGTTTCAGTTTTTCAGTAGTGTAAAACCTTAAGGCAGGCAATCACTTCTTACTTGGAACTTCTTTCTCTCTCTTTTCTCTCTTCTTTCTTCCTTTCTTTAGTTCTCCCTTTTCTTTTCTATTACTTTTTGTTTTCTTTTTGGCCCTCCTCATGAAAGGAATGACAGCTAAAACACAAGAAAAAAGAAAAGAAAAGCTGTTGTACCCTGTTTCTACAAACATACTTCTAAGTAATACTCCTTGTCAGATATTCTAGAAGAAAAATATTAAATCCTCAAACTGTGATGGGGCTCAGTAAYATGACTTCTGAAGAAATATATGAATATAATGAACTATTCAGAATACACCAATGGATGGTATCTTGGTTTAATTTCTAGTTTTTCTATTGACTCCAAAGGTATAAACAGTTTGTCTTCTTTTCTTTCTTTTTCTTTTTTTGTGGTACTGGAGATTAAATCCACAGGCACCATAACACTAAGCTACATGCCAGTCCTATTAATTTTTATTTTGAGACAGGACTAAGTTGTTGAGAAACTTGTTAAGCTGGTGAGGCTGGCCTCAAACTTGTGAGCCTCTAGAGTCACTCGGATTAGAAACATGCACCACCTCACATAGCTAAAATTTTATTTTTCAAATAGCCACTTAATCTTTCTTAAATACATCTTATGTTTAAATAAGTCAGAAAAATAAATGAAAAATGTGTTTATTCTTCTTTTATACTACTGCCAAAAAAAGCTACTAAATCTTACCATGAAGCCATAAGAATGCAGAAGTGTCATTGTTAAAGTAATAAAAATATATATATCGTGAAGTACTAAAAGAAAAATATCTATAATATATAATGACATATGCTATAATAATTTAAAAAATAGATGATGGCAACAAATAGGTGCTAAAGGAAAAAATCGAAATATAAGAAGCTAATTAATGATTAGCTAGGTATGAATGGCTTAAAACACATTATGTGCAAGCCAACATAATTAAAGTTCTATACTTAAGTATACAGACCAGTTTTGATATTTCAAATTTTGTTATGAACTGGCAAATGCTGACAGTGGGAAAAATTGGGTAATTTGGCCAAAGGATACAAACTATCAACTAAAAGATGAACAAGTTCTGGGGAGCTAATATGTAGCATGGTGACTACAGTTAATTTTGCATTGTTTACTTGAAATTTGCTGAGAGTAGATCTTCAGTGTCCCCATCTCTTTCTCTAACACGCAGCATTTTAAGTAATGATGAGTGATGAATGTGTTAATTTGACTGTGGTAGCCATTTCACAATGTACATGTATATGAAAAATTCATTTTGTTTACTTTGAATTTACATAACTTTTATTTGTCTATTACAACTCAATAAAGGTGAAAAAATGTAAATTGGGCTCTCAACACAATAAATTTAATCATGTTTTCAAAGCCTTTGAGAAGTCCACCACTCTAAGATAACACTTGGAGTGAGAGAAGGAGGAATGGATCCTGCGAGTCAACATTACTAGCAGCCCATGAAATCTTGGACAAATCATTTCAGCTGATCCTCTCACCTTGGTTTCTTCACTTAAAAAACAAAGGGATGAAGAAAAAAAAAAACACCTTTAAAGTCCTTTCAAATTCTATTATGATTTTAACCAAAAAGAGATTAAATTTTATTTGTCAGTAGTAAAAGAACTGAGAGACATATCTTAAAATAAACTTGTACTTCTTGAAGTGGGGAGTACGTTTGACAACAGAAGATGTTTTCAAGGGGTCAGTTTTAACATTACCAGATCCTAGATGACTTAGTGGCAGGAGATTTTTTTGCTCAAAAAGATCAAGTACAGGAAACAAAAATGACCACTGAATAACAGTGTGTTTTCTATTAGGCCAGACAGATGATAGGAATGCTTCTCACCCATAAATGCCAAGAGCCTTCTGGGGAGATCTCACCTTTTCCCCTTTCCTGCAGCTCCTTCAAGACTTGACAGCCCTCTACTATGGCAATGGAGACTTTTTCCACAAGTTCCTCTGTGAAATCCTTGCCTCATACTTGCTGGGACCTATAAAAAAGAAAGAAGTTGTTAAAAAGAGAGTGCTCCTTTTCCTCATTCTATTGATCCAATGCATTGCTAACACTATTGATTCTTTGCCAAAGTATTTTGCTAATCCACATATTACCCTATGTCCCCCACAATTTTTCTCTTAAATTCTAGATGTCCCTGACCATTACATCTCATTGGTCTATCTAACTCTGTCGCTTTCAGTGCATTCTCCCCACTTCAATGTCAACACAAACCTCCCCAAGCATATCAAGCTTGCTTTCCCTCTTAAAGTACTGACACCTAGTCATAAAATGCCACCTTCTCTTTTTCACTAGTGGATTTTACCATCTCTTCTTTTTGTGCAACACAATGTTCCCATTCTTTAATTGAGACATCTACCCTGTTTTTAGATGTTAGCTCAAGCATCACTTTTTCCTCACTCTCCAAATTTGGATTAGCTGCCCCTTCTACTTCTTTCCATCACATTCTATTCTTCCTCTTTCTAGGTCTCTATGCTCTGTATACAAACTAATGTTTAATTTTCTATCTCCTCTATTAGACGATAAGCACTGATGTAATGATTATTGGCATATTTCATAACTGAATACAGTTATTCATAGCACCTACCACATTTCCTGGTATATATAGGATATTCTACAAATATAAGATGAATGGATAAATGAGTAGGTAGAATGTTTGGGGTAAAAAATGCAATTTCTATCCATTAAACTTTAAAACTATTTCAAATTGTCATACCCAAAACAACACTTATTATTTATGTTACCATGTTTGTGGTATATCTGCTAATTTAATATGTTAGAGCTGGTAATATAATAGTCTCACAGCCAGTCTCAACCCTGAGGAACCTATAATCTACTGAGGAGAGGGCAGGAGGAAAGCAAGGATCTGCTATACGAAAAAATAAGCTAATACAGTAAGATGCAGTAAGTGATAGGCAAGGGAAATTTCAGAGCACTATGTAAAACAACTATAAGTCAGAAGGTCAGAGAAGGCTTCCTAGAGAGGTAGTATCTAAACAGCAGTGTCAGTCTGGTAAAGGAGAGTAAAAACATTATGCTAAGTAGAGGGAATGACAAAGGAAATGGAGAGGCAAGAACAAGAGATAAGGCTTGAAGGAAAGCAGAAAACATATCCTAAAAGTGTGAAAAGCCACACTGAAGAGGTTGCATGTCTTCAAGAAGGTAATGGAGAGCCACTGAAAAGTTGTAAACAAGGAACTAATCAGATCTGCATTTCAGACTGCTTTTTCTGGCCACCAGAGAATGGATTTGAGGCTGTGAGTAGGATTGGAGGCATAGTGCCCAGTTAAGAGGTTGTAAAGATGATCTAGTGAGAAATTAATATGGTCTAATAATTAGACAAGTATCAATGTGTGATAAAAAGAAAAAGACATCTTTGAGAGCTATGAGGTAGTAAATTGATGCTATTTGGTAAGAACTGAGTAAAAAATAATTGACTTGAAAAACTGAGCAAATGGTAATCCAATTCTCTGAAACAGTAAGGAAAAGATAATACCCGCAATTTTAGAGATCTGATACTCATATGAGACATCTAAATGAAAAAGTTCAGTAGGCAGAATATAGGACAAAAAATACAGATTGAGATTTCTGTAAATCTGGGGCCCTTTTGGTAGGTAAGCCCAAAATTTAATTTGATCTAATTAAATGCTAAAATCACGAAGGCAGTGATCTAAATAAAATAGGTAGATCCTATTTATAATGCCTTCAGCTTTCTTTGTATAAATATCTTATTCTAATAGTTTGAGACAAAGATACATATATCTATATATCTCAAGGCATTCAATTTTGTATGTTGTGAGCTTCATCACAACCCTTTAGTCTCATTATCCCTCTCATCCAGTGGGTTTTAAACTTAAAAGAATTCATCAGAATTACTTGGAGAACTTGTTAGACTGCTGGGCCTCATTTCCAGGATCTGTGATTCAACAGATCTGCAGTGGGACCTAAGAATTTTCATATTTAATAAATTCTCTGATGATGTTGAAAACTACTGGACTAATCAATTTCAAAGCAAAATCCTTTTTTTTTTTTTCCCCCAAATCTTTCACGGACACAGGGTTTCCCTATCTTCTATTAAGTAGTCCTTGTGAGATTAAGATAATTCACTGATTCCACAAACTCTGTTAAGTATGGGTACATCCTGGTTGCAACAGGTGCTTGGGTGTAGTCTAAGAAGGGAGGCAGACAAATACACAGACAACTAAGGCCACAACAGAAGTGTATAGCATTCCAGATTCTCAAAGGCATAAATAATATTTCAACAAAAATTTCAAATTCCAAACATACACAAATCAGTAAGGTTATTAGTTTTCTTCCTTTTTCCTGCACTTAACAAATTTTCTCTAATTTATTTACTACATCTATGGAACTGAAGGAAAAAACACAMAAAAAAACATTATAAGTTAAACCAAACTAACAAAATTATCTGCCCATATTTACCAAATTACATTATTATTACTCTCAGGATAAAACACCAAGATCTCACACCTAAGGTTGCGCCAGCCTGTCTCCATCTCTGCAGCCTCATAACCCAACATTCCCCAAAGGAGCCTTTAGCTCCAGTGCATCTTTCAGTCATATCTTTGTGCCTTTTCTCATATACCTAAACTACTTATCTTCCTTTCCAGCTAGTCTCACTTCTCTGAACTATCTCTGTCTTTCCACATTCCAACTCTATTTCAACATTCTCTGTGAAAACTTCTTCGTAATTATCCCCAGTTCCCATTGATCTTTACGATTTTTAACTCCAGCAGCAACTATTTATGCCATTTACTTGGGTTCTCAAGTGTTTGTACTATGATTCCTATCATGAAAATACATTTTCTTTCCTTAAACATGTTAGTTAAGAAGAAATGCCTTATTTCTCAAGTCACCTGCCACCTACAAACTGCCACACCAAACTCAGTTTTCCTCAAGCAAAATTCTATAATTCAGGATTTTGGAATGTGGCATAAGTAATTCTTCTATTGTAAGAGCATCTATGACTCTGAATATTCCCCAGATTTCATATTCTGTGGTCAGCAAGATAAGGGGAACTCTATTACTGTCAAACTACTCTTGGAAAGTTCTAACCATACTTGATACCAATGTAATTTCAACAGCCTGATCCCACATCCAAAGGAAAGCCATCTGATCCCACAGTCCCAGTGTTAGATCAGATGGCTTTCCTTTGGATTGCCTTATAAATACTGGAGTCCAGAGAGTTCCAGATTGTCGCTGATGAATATCAAATCTTTTTTTTTTGAATATCAAATCTTATAGTTCTAGAATTTACAGTAATGATGGGCTCATAGTAGCTGCTCAGTGTTTGCTGAACTTACATGCAATACAATGACTAGTCTGGTAGCTAATCAGTGTACACACTCCACAGCCTGTGAGTGCATCCAGATGAACTGGATGAGTTGGGAAGATATCTGGTTCTCAGGTTCCTTATTAATATTTAGTGAGAAACTCATTAAAGGGAGTGGTCTTTCAGAGGGATCAGGCACTTCAAAACACGGCTATCTGCAAGAATCATACTTTAGAACATTTAGTTAAGATAGAAATGTTTAATGACTGCCAGAAAAGGAGACTTAACACAGTCTCTAACAGATCTAATATTTAACAATACTTTATAAAAGAAATTATCTTATCCTTTCTGTTACAGTTTAACATTGTTTTCTTTCCTTTTTTCCTCCCAAGGGCTGGCCTCAGTATAGATTAGGAACAGCTGGGCTCACTCTCTTCCTTGCTTAAGATTCTTTAATCTACCCAAAAGACTTATTATTAAACTGCTCTTCAGTCTTTTCTCCTTCAGACAAATAATGGTTCTCTAGTTTTTGTCTTAGGCCTTATTTTCCAAAACTAGTTATTTTTGTGACTTCTTTTAGTTACAAACATAGAGTAAACACTGTCCATTACACATCACAGTTCAACAATGTGTAATACTTCCACCATGCTCTACATTCCTCTTCAGGCAACTGTGAAGGAGTGGAAAAAGCTGATTTAAAATCAAACAAGCCTAAAGTCAAGTTCCAGTTCTGGCACTTATGTGCTATGTACTTTTAAAAAAGTCATTAGCATTAGAGTCTTCTCTGAAAAGTGGGAAAAATCATTAGCATTAGAGTCTTCTCTGAAAAGTGGGAAATAACAGCTACCTCATCAGGTTGTTGAGATTAAACTAGATGTTATGGAAATGGTTAGGAAACTGTAAAGCAGTATTATTACTATATTGTTGCTGCTTTAGTTAGGGATGAGCATTATAAAGAACAAGACTTGAAATGATTTTGGTAAATCTCATTTTAAAAGACTGAAATCTTAATTACTAATACTAATGCCTTAGTAAACCTGTGTAAAAGGAATTTTTCCCCAGGAAGTAGTGACTATACCACGAAAATATAATTGTGGGTAATCCATGAACATGATGTCACCACTATGTGTACATGTAGGAGGGAAAGGCAGGAGGAGCAGGGACATGATCCAGTGGGGCATATCCAACTTTTAACTTGCATCTTGTCTGAAAGCAGATATAGCTGGATTTCTACAGAACAGGGATGGGTTCCAGTTCCCTTGGCCACTTAATCCCCACTAACATGGCTGTGACTATTATCTAGAAATAAAGAAACCTCAGCAATGCACACTGATAATATCTGACTCCAGGGTGCTCTGCTCCACAGGACATGGTACAGATAGTCCAAGACAAACTTGCAACCTTGGGTTCTTCATCAACATATAACAACATTTAGTTTCCCTCTCCCTCATCCCAACTCTACCCAGCCCTCTCCCAACTAGAAGTTCAATTAATCAGACTATAAAATTCTCTTCCTTCCACTGTTATATAATAAGATTCTTCCACAAATGGTGTGAAACACAGAAAAATGCCTTTAAATCACATAAAATTATTCATAATATAATGCAAATAGTTTGTTTTTTAGTTAATTCTAATTCTCTGACAAATAGTTCTTCAACTGAACCAATATTTATTGAGCATCTATCAAA